GTCCAACATCTCATCGACAAGTCCAATATCTCACTCCGCGGTCAAACATCGATTTTTTTATGAGCGCTCAGTAAAAAATTGGAAATATTAGACTTATTGATTTATATAGGATCAAATTTCTAAAGGTTTAACAATGACTATTTGTCAATATCTTTAAATACTAACTGTTTTATGTACAGACAGTTTATACATTCGTTTATATACATATAGATAACATGTATTTAACAGTAATATGAAAGTGATGATAAATCGAAGCTTTGTTCTGATGTTTGATCATAAACACAATGTAGTGTCAATCTTGTTCTGATCCTCGGAATTGTTTTGAGGTGTTTGATAAAACTAGAAAGTATACAGTGGATTCATAGTTATCCATATACTCCTTAGATGATGTTTTCTTCCGTAGGCATATGCTTTCCGGCGAAATAGATACATAAATTGAGATATTGGACAAAAAACAAACCTTGACTCTCTTTCTGTCTCTTCGAAAGCATACACCCAGTGCACAACATATATGTAGCTTACATCCCGCATGTTGGAATATTCACAGTGATGTTGTTACTTCGATTTAACCACTGATAGGACTAGTACTAAATGTCTTTATGAATGAAACATTAAAACAATGAAGCGAGGGGGGGGGGGGTGATTGGTGGGATGTCGTTAATTTCTCTAGTCACAGTAATATTCATAATGCATATTTTGCAAAGACATGATTTTTATTTAAAGATAAATTATTATTTTCATTAATAAAAAAAATATAAAATAGTTACTAGACTTGCATATATATTTTATTTCAGTCTTGTTCTCTAGAATGATGTAAATTGATATTTGCTTCAATAGGAGCAATCTTTCTGTTTATGCCCCTCTCAGCCCCTTCTTCTTCAGTACGTTTCTCTCTATAATCATACAACAAATATTTTACAGTTTACACATGTACATCGTGCATGTGCTGTCTATTAATCTGAGTGATGTGACGCTTCTTTAGAATTACCACGCCTGAGAAGTTGTGAAATAACATTTTCAAACCTTTCACCAAGAAATACTAGCATATTTATATCAGTATAACAATTATATATATTTCGTTATTATTGTGTGAGGAGCTAACTACATCGATATCCTTAATTTAAAATCTAAATAAATTAATAAATATTTTTCAAATCTTTTTTTTTATGTAAGTTGATATAATTTTTAGCAATAAATTAAAATTCATCCAGGAGAAAAGACGCTTTAAATTATGGGAAAATACCCAGATATAAAACAACATATAACTGAAAATGAGCAATCATAACAGATTATATGTTGATAAGACAATATACAAAAAGGGGGAGTTTCGATAAGGCTGTTTTTCGGCCCCTCAAGAAATATAATGAAATTGTGATATGTTGTAGATAAAAGTGTTATCTTCCTAAAAATATGAAAAAAAATTATACTGCACATTATCTGGTCACGTGATAATTAAAAATTTTAGTAGACCCTCTTCCCTATATTTTTGGAGGGGTTATATTTAAAGGAGGTAATGGAGTTTATTTAACGTCAAAATCATAAATGAAATATTACAAATGTGAATAAAGACATCAAATAACCAATTTCAATATTTTTCTTTACAGAAAATTAATGATATTTATTTTATTTGAATGCGTTTTAAGGTGCAAGATTTTTCTCGTGTTTTAATTGTAACTCTTCTTTCAAAGAGGATGAATGTAACATATAAAACGTATATGAATAATAAAGACAGGAATTTTCAAAAAAATGAATTAATCGACAGTTTATACTAAGACTTAATAATCAATACATAACATTTTCCCGTACGTAGAAAAGCAAATGTAAAGATATATAGACAAGAGATAGATAAACTTAAACTGTCATTGACAGGCGTTTGACACTGTTTGCAACACATTTTTATCAACTAAAGTTATTGTGCTAAATATAGTACATGTATTAATAAAATGTACCGTAATATCATTAAATTGAATTTTAAAAAAATTCTTGAAATTAACAGATTTTGGAATTCGGTACGATTAAAAAATTCAGCTATTTATATTTTAAAAGTATATTTAAAAGAATCGTACTGCAATGTACAATATATTAAATAATTTAATATTACTATCAGTCAAAATATTTTATCAAGATAGTAATTATTAGTCCCATACCGGTGAAGCCGGAGGGGTCTATAGGTTTCCTCATCGTCTGTCCGCCTGTTTGTCCGTCCGTCCCTCTGTCTATCTGTCAGTCTGTTCCACTTGTTTTTTCGCACTTTTCTCTAAACGCTTGCAGATATTGAGCTGGCTTTGGTATTTATAGTGTATCCTGATGAGAAACAGAGTTTGAAATTCAAGTTTGAACGTCGTTATAAATTCTGCTTCATTTATTTCTGACGGAATATTACAAATTAAAAAAAAAAGGGGGGGGGTCGGTGTTTTTTGTTTTGTTTTTTCTAAAAAAAAAAAAAAAATCGCATATATTGAGCTGATTTTTGTTTTGGTATAGATGAGTTATAGATCAAGTTGGCATTTTCTTCCGCTTCAGTGATTTTTCAAATAGGGCATTTTCAATTTTTAATGGAAACCAGGTTATACTTGGTGTGCCGATAGTGGACTATTATTGCTAATGCAGTGCTTACAGAATGCGTGGATAAATAGCCAAATGATAAAAAACTAAAATACATTGAGTGCATGTCTTCTATTCATTCTTAAACTTAAAAGTATTTACGCACATAAAAAGGTGCATTATGTTTTCAGCAAAAATGAGACAATTCAGGCAAGCAAGGACCTACATGTAATTCCTCGCGCTTTCCAACTTCCTTTTAATGCTTATGTTGTTTCACCAACTCTAGTCACTATTAGATTTGCTAGACCATAGCCGCAATTTCAAATACATTTGTAAATATGTATTTACAAATGTATGTATGTTTTAAATCATATCCTGTAGAAACGTACAAATCAACATCCAGTCTTAAAAGTAATCTACGTTCCCTACATGTAGACCACACGGAAATATATGTGAACCTTCTCTAACAGATTGAAGCGAGGAGAGTTTCTATTCAAAGGAATGGCTATAACCATATCCTTGATAAAGAACGTTAATGAATAGACTAATCCTCAAACTTCTCTTTAGTTTAGTCAGTCATTGGAAAATGTAAGATCAGGCATCTGTAACGGTTCTGGTAATGTGTAACCCTAAATGCATCATCGGTGCATATTTCTTCAAGATAGGGATTATAGTTACATGAAAATGAGACATGCTCCAAAATATATACCCTGAGCATTCATCAAGAAAATGTAAGTCAGATCTAGCATCTGAAGCAAGTCAGACAGTGTGCATCCGAAGAGGCATCAAGAAGCACGTCTTCTCAACAAGTGCTTATAGCTGCACTGCTCCATAAACATTAACCTACATGCTTTAAAAACATTAACCTGGACATTCTTTAACTGAAAATGCAGCATCTGAAACCCGACATATGACAAGAAAACACACTAGATCAGGCGACTCTGATGATATGAAAAAATTGATTAAAAACTTTTAATAACCTGGAACGCCTATAACGATGGTATTACAAAAGCTCCCCCAACTTCGTGTAGGTGAGCTAAATATGTGACGGTAACGTTATACGCAGGCGACGAAATAAGTATGGAAATAACGATAGGATACGATTATGTTTTCTTATGTTAATATTTTCGAGAGTTCTCTTTGGTTTAGAAAAAAAAATATGCTACTTTTGGCTTTGTATTTTAACACTGCGTCAGATCAAGTAACCAGGAGCTTCTAATTTTAGATATGCAAATTTTAGACAATTTTCAATTTTTGAATATGAAGTGCACACGCGACACTCATCATATTTTAAGATATTAGTGTGCAGAGTATATCTAATTACTGAACAAAAGTAGGTGAGTGTCCCTCATGCACTTCATATTCTAACCATCGATTAATAAATGCCACCCTCTTATATTTTCCCATTAGCCTAATGTTAAAGCATTTGAGGGTACATCTAAGAATGTGCCAACTACGGCTTGAATTCATCTCATATAAACTCTTGAAATATAAATAACAAAAATTAACATATATATCTTGATTTCTAAACCAATTTTGAAAAAATAAAACGAAGTTTATTTTTATGAAAATAAGTGGGCCGATAAGCGGCCTTATCGAAACTTCCCCTTTAACACAACATGTGTAGGGACCTTCACGCAGAACAATAAGACGGAAATCTGATAATGTTGTGAATAGGAAACATAAAGTAATTTTAACTTTAAAATATCATAACTTTTTACTTTGTTGATTTTTTTTTATATAATAACTCAAAAGTAAAAATATTTTGATATTAACATCTTCAACCATATATTACATATATTTGAAAATGTAGTTCATTAAATTTTTAAAATCGATAGTAATTTTGTTTACTTGGATGAAAATGAGAACTTATTTTTTTTTACTTATGCATGCTGCTAATTAACAGTAAATGCACGTATCTTTATTTTTTCTATTTATTGATAATATATATTCAAAGTTGTCTTTCGAGCTGTTAAACATCCTTTTTCTTTTTTATAGCAGGTTTGGACTTCCATACACTGTATCTGGGTCATGATCGACAACGAACATGAAACAGAGTAGAAAGTGACATTTTAGTATATATAAGATGATACAACCTGAAACAATAGAATCTTTCAATCCTATGGGTAAAAGTCGAATCAAGCTAATAAAGTAAAACAACGGAATATGAAAACTGGAAAAAAAAAATATTCGAGAGTATCTTGCTTCAATCGTGTGACTGTCAATGTATGTAAGACAATTTTTTTTTTCTATTTAGTTGCTGCCATTAAAAGTTTGATAACACACATGCATTTGAAGAAACATTTGAAGTTTTAAATCTATTGTAAATCTACATCTGGATCGGTTCAGTATATGCGTCATTTTCTAAAATTAGAAGGTGGAAATACCGTAGAAATATAAACAAACCATGACAAATCATTGCTGAGTTGGCTATTTCAAAGGTAGGAATACATTTTCCAAGAGAGAAGAAAACGGTGTAATATATTTTTACACAAGTAAGTAATTTTGTGAGATAATCTTTATATTATCTTTATTACCAAGGGTAGACATTTTGCCATAGAAAAATATATAAGAATGTGTTATGGAAATGAAACGTTGTACATGTATGCATTGTTTTAATAACAAAAAACTTAAGATTTTTCAAACTAAAAAAATTGTATACTTAAAAAAATGTTGATAAAAATATAGGAATAAACATATTGTGTAAAGGTCACAGATAGTAATTCGAAACAGGCTTGGAAAAAGAAAATGAAAGTTGGTGTTTCTGCGAAACACACCGATATAATGATTTAAAAACAAAGCATCTATTATATTTGCAGTTCGTGAAAAATGACTGAAAAGTCAGATTTTGCTCCCAAGACACCAAAAAGTAGCTACAAACAGTTAGATGAACTGGCACAAAAAAACCGGACAGTGGTAAGTAAAGTCTTATCTATGCATTTTTTGCAAATTATACCGTTTGTTCCCCTCATATATATAGATTTCTAATTGTTTTCTGAGTGATCAATCTTTGAAAATTAGGTGTGTTTATTTCGTGATGATTATAACTAATGTAAATTTCGCCAAGTGAAAGTTTAAGTGTATAGCTAACCATCTCTCGCGGCTGTCTTTGTGGCTGACGTCAGTGAGCGGGAACTATGGAAATAAAAACAGAATGCTATAATAGACAATATTTGTACCTATATTTACTTTTTTATTTCACATATAAACGTAAGTATAAGAAATCTATGTCTTGTTTGTTGAGTATGCCAGGGACATCAACGACAGTTGGAAACATATGGAATAATGCAAATTATCGCGTTTCCAGCAAAGTAGAAGTGATTTCTTATATATATATATATATATATATATATATATATATATATATATATATATATATATATATATATATATATATATATATATATATATATATATATATATAATGAAACATGTCAAGTTGAAAGGAGATTTAAAAAACTTAAATTCCGAACTTTAATTTTCATTTCTATTTCAAATCATGCGTATGACCATGATGGTTATTTTATATTTTTCTTTCTTTAAGTAAAATAGTAAAATGTTTCTTGAGGAATTTATTTGCAGATTTGACAAACATAAAAAACCCCGGATATTTTAATTTTCCTGAAATCATTTATTGAAACAATAGATTGTCTACCTGACTCTTTCTGACATATTTATTGTTTCTATAGCAAACACTAATAAACACCAAAACTTTTAGCTTTAGAATATTTCATTTAATTAAAAACAATTTTTCATTTTTGCTGAAAAAAATAAAGTCATTGTCTTTATATTAGTCTACTGATATTGACATCAATAGTAACAAGAGACTTCTATTCAATAATTGAATCACTTGGTGGAGGATAGTACCTTAATCACTCATAAATGAGTTTTTGAGCTGTGTTTTTATGCATGATTGTTCCTCATTAACAATGGTTGGATGTTTGATCCGTAGTGTCATAAAAAAGTCCTATTAAAATTGCCCACATAAAAGTAATAGTCGAATATTGAAATAAGATGTTAAGAAATAACTTTTCTGTTTTCATCAAAATATATGACAAGGCATATTTTCAGATTTTCAGTAAATTTGACCAACACCCGGAGGGATTCCTTGCTTCCTTAACTCTAGGAGAAGAAGTGTACACTGGGATTGGTAGCAATAAAACAACAGCAAAAGATAAAGCAGCGGAAGCGGCATTAGAAATCTGGAGTACGAAAATAACCCCAGAAAAAAAGCAAGACAAAACACCTGTTACGAAACTAAATGAACTTTGTCAGCAAAATAGGAATGTATGTTAATAGGATTGTATGTTATTTTGGTTGGAACGTCATGTTACAGTTGTGACAAAAAATATCAAAAGATCAATTTATAAATGCGTAATATTTTTTTGCCAAGACACTGCATTCCTGCACGCGTTTTCAAACCGTAAATAAAAACTATATGAAAGTTTTATTTCTAATTTTTCTATTATGATGTTATAAAGTTATATGGAACATTATAATCATGAACTAATTTTATGGTATTCTCTTTTCTTGAAAATAAATCATGAAATTTCAATGATCAATGAACATCAGCAAAAATAAATGAAAGGAAAGCAAATCTATATTGAAAGCGAGTTCATCAATTTAGTTTTTTAGTGTAACAGGATGTTATACGATTAAAAAAGTAAAAGTCTAATTGTAGATAAAACACAGGTATGAAGAGCTTGACAAAGATGCGGACGATTTCGTCTTCAGAGTTTTGATTATGCTCGAAAATGAGGAAGGAAAAGTGGAAACGGAAGAGGAACATAAAGGAAAAGGAAGATCTAAGAAGGATGCTAAACAAAACTCTGCTTCTATGGCTCTACAGAGAAGTTATATACTACAGTCCTTCACAGGAGTTGTACCGGTTGTGAAGAATGATACATGTTAGAATGATAAGTAAAATTTTTCTGCTCCCCCCCCCCTTTTTTAACATCAAAATATATTATTATAAATATATTTATCTCTCAAAGGCATGAAGATCCCTGTTTCATGTTCTCAGGCATAAACAAGTATAAGTTGAGGGAAAAAAAATGTTATTTAGAGAAAAAAATAAAATTCAATGCAGAAGGAATAGATCATGCAGGAAAAATACAACTGCGCATTTACAGCATCAATTTTGCCATGTAGAGTAATATAAATATGTCCATAAGATACGAATGACTAAGGTTTATTTGTAATTCTTCATCAAAATAAATGTACTAATTTTCTTTGGTCTGAACCAATCATAAAACTATGATGAAAGGGGAGATAATTTTCAGATTTTCTTAATACACATAACTGCTACCTATTGTACACTTGTTATCTCTTGTAGCATGATATGAAGTGTTGATTCGTCCTATCAAATTAACAGCTTAACAAAGTTCATAAATTCTAGTTCATTCTTTACACCACCTGGGTTAAATGGTGATAGTAAAAAGAAAGTGAAAGTATTTTTTTTTAATTCTACCAAATTGGTAAAAGTTACAGTAAAAGAAAGAAAAAATTCAATACATGAAAGGACAAAAAAAATGAGGTCAGTGTCAATATAAATCATTAATGCTATTTAGATTTCAAGATAAACCTTTCTGAAAAATCATTTAACATTATTATTTTCTACATGTATAACCATATCTTTATAATGAATACTAACCTTTTATCTTTTTTGAAATGAAAATTTTGTTGATTGTTGTATCTTTTTTCCCGTATTAAATCCTCTGATAATAGTCTACATTCGAAAAAATAGTATTTGGTGGGGGTATTTCTTGTATTTCATGTAGTCAGGTCTAACAAGTTACGGATGTCATTGCTATTGTGCAATGAAATAAGTTTTCATATTCATCTTTGGTTAATTTTCATGACCTTGAAAGTAAATAAACTAATTTAAGATAAAACTTTCCTTGTACTCGGATGCTATTATATAAATCAATAGGGTTTTATATCTGATATAATCTTGTGACTTCATTAATGAATTCCATAACCAGTACGTTTTGCTAACGTTATGTCATCTGTTGTTAGTCTACCTACATGTACTCATTTAAGACATTTTTTTATTTTTGCATGTACTCTGATAGCAAAATGGGAACATTCTCACAGACAAAAAATATCAGAATTTTATTTTGATTGATGAGAATCTCTCCAATAAAAACTTTTAGGGTTTTAGGGTTGAAATGTAAGGTCGGTCAGGCAACCGGGAAAAGAGTATTTTGTTTGTCCTATATATATATTTATCAAATTTACAAGAAAAATGGGAATAAAAAGAGAATTTCGTCCTCTGACGTCTTGTCTATTTTTGTTGCCTTTTGCATGATTCTATCTCATAGCAAATACCGGTATGCCCAATCCTGAATTTAACTTTTTTGAGAGAAAAAATATCACTTGAATATTTTTTAAAGGTTTTTCTCCAGTTGGACGATTGTATGAATGTAGACCGAGGCAGACTGGCTATGTTCTCATTGTGTATTTCAGCATAGAAAGAGATTGTAAGTACAGGCTATTATACATGTAGATAAACTACAAGTGTAAAATAGAAACATCAATCTCTTCTGAGTGGAGCGGTTCATATCTAATCTGTACATCAATAATCTTGTGGTTTCTAAAATCAGACAATGTTCTGGAATATATTTCACTTTTTTAATATTTGTGAATATTTTATTCTAAAGGTACAGTGTGGCATACTATTTATATATAGGTAAAAGTCAAATTAGTTCAATTATATCAATTTAGTTTTATCGCATCAGTCCACGAACTTTTTGATAACCCCTCGTATGTATATATTTTCCCATTTTACAAATATAATTTTACTTCAACAAAATATTAGGCAAATGAAGAATAATGAGCACATTCATTAGATACAATGTATATAAGTGTGGTCAAAAAGTATTTTATCATTTTATCCAGGGGCAGATGTAGACGTAGACAACATTAAAAGATTCATGGAAAACACATTAAGATTTCGAATTGAGGTAGTAAAAGATCCAACTAAAGATGAATTAATCAAAGTACTAGAAGCCACATACAGACATCTAAACGACCACTCAAGTGCTTATTACTGTTTCACTTTTTTCCTCATGGGTCACGGAAGTCAGGTAAGAAAGATCCAGCTAACAAACTTACACCAGCATTAATGCGCAAAGAGAAACAAAAGCTTAGCATGTTGATTTTTTGTAAAAATCAGAAGATACTAGACAGATTAAAACGCATCTTCCTAAATCGCTGATATTCAAATAAAGTTTAACCATCCTATTCACTTTAATGGTGTGCTGAAGTGTGAAGTAGATTTGCACGTCTCTCCCTAGTCTTTTAACAAGGAACTAATAGTTGAGTGAATACTATGGATATCAAGCCTAAATGTATTGAAATTATTTATAGGTCAAAATATCTTTTAAAACATGGTTAGTTTTTACACCACTAAAATGACTGTTTTATAGTGAACATTATCAAAAGTAAGAAAAGTATTTGTTACTTTGTATATATTCTGGTGTTTTGTAGTTTGGAGTAAGGACAGCTGACAAGGGGAAAAAGAAAATGACAATCAGTGTTGACGAAATTTTAGAATACTTCAAAAATAACAAAATGCCTGAATTTACTGGTGAGGTTATGATCCAACATGACATTAACATTTTTGTTTAGAATCTCAATTTTGTTTACAATGTCATATTTTGCAAGTGGCTTAGTTCCTTTGTAAAATGTTTTAAAAATTGTATTGAATTGAATGAATTTTGTTTCCACTCCAGGAAAACCCAAAATGTTTTTCCTCCAGTGTTGTCGAGGGGAGTCACTTCAGGAGACCTTAATACAGCCCGACACTGATGAAGAGGATAGTGATAAAATCAGGGTACCGACTGATGGAGATATTCTTATTGCTCATGCTACAACTGAAGGTGAGTATCAATTTTATCATTATATTACTGTAGCGGAGCAGCAATCAAGACAAGGTTTTGAAATCAGTGTGATATTTATTACAAGGATTATATACTAGTACCAGATTCTTCAAAACAATTTAAAATGTACATTAACTAAAGTTGATATCACACATAATCAGCAGAATCTATTGTCATCATAAAATCAGATAATTACTACATATTAATTAGATCATACAATAATAAATATTGACACAGGTCAATGAGTTATATCTCTTGACTTTAAATACAAATATTTCTCTTTATATATTCACTTCATATAGTGGATAATAAATATTTACAATATACATGTACATATACATTGTAGCTACATACCAAACTATGGGTATGAATCCATCTCTAATATATTTCTCATACAGTGTATATGTCTTGCTATGGATTTAATATCTACAATTCATAAATAACATTTAAATACACTATATAATATTATTCTTTTGTGTCATAAAATACATTTCAATACAAAGTTTAAAATCAACTAGTTCATCAGCTTTGACAAACTTAAATAATTTAATAAATTCTCTCACATGCCACTTTTCATTCATACAATTATTAATATGAAAGTATTAATGTGAAATAAGAATGTCAAAAAGTCAACTTACTGTCAGTGGTCTATAAAATACTCCAAATATCAAAAATACAACTTTACACACTGACTGCTCCTAGGCTAGTAATTAACTGGACACTCTGGACAAAGGGGGTTAAAGGTTTTGGCGGGAAAATATTAACCAATGGCTATTTTACTTATTTACTTATTCAAGGTTAAGAGTTAAACTGTAATTTTAGAACTCTAGAGATTTCTAGACTTTAATTAGAGTTAGTTGTTATAAATTTATTTAAATGTTTAATATTTAAATAAAACATTTTTATTTTAAATCAAATGTTTTATTGAAAGTTATTTCATAACTTTCAATGTCATCTGAAAGAAAATTGTTGTTAATTAAAATCAATATAAAATCATGACTATTACATTACAAATGAATTTGGCACTATTAAAATACTGAATGACATAGTAACATGAATATTATACCTTTAATTTGAATGTTTGCATGCACTTTGATTTTTGACAAATCAAAGCTTGCAACAAGAATAAAGAAATGGTTTTTGGGATATTTTTACGTACATGAAAAGGAAATTCTGTCATTCATTTGCCTGTAACATCAGTGTGTGTTTTTTTTTTTTTTATATTTTTGCTTTCAGGCTATAAAGCCTATAGATTTAAAGACATTGGATCTATTTTCATCTTTAACTGTATCAAAACCTTTGAAGATAGCTACACAACAATGCATCTAGAAGATATGATGATAGATGTAAAAGCCGTTATCGCTCTTGATCCAAGATGGCGCCGAACAAAAGAGCATGCTCAGATGCCTTGTACATGGAGCACATTGACAAGAAGATTCTACTTTTTACCCACCGATAGATGAGATGTACTTTTATCTAGTGTGAAGTTTCAATCTTTCAAACACTGGTCCTCATCTGTGTATTTTTACGAATTATTAAAATTGTTATAGTTATCAAATTATTGCGAAATATTTATCCGATATTTTAATGCATTTATTAATTTATATAAGGAATGGAACCTTATTGAATATATATATTTAACTGTAAACTTATTTTTGTAAGTAAAAACGATTAACGTTTTTTCTATCGTCATTTAATTTGCTACTTACTCCGATACTAAATGCAGATCTGACCAGCTAACAAGATTAATACAATATAAATGAACATCTTTATCTTTGGTATTGATGGGATTAATTAGTTATAAATATACAACACAGGTTTTTAAGAAAGAAAAAGAAATCATTGTTGAATATTTTATTTACTTGTTTTATTTAAGGAATGAATTTAATAGCTACCGAAGTTAAATTCTATAACTTATACTAAAAATGCGTAAACTGTTCCTACCTAAGTTATACAAGTATAACCCGGGTAGCTATCAAATTTATTCCTTGTAATTTAATTTTCAATATTTAAATGTAAAAAAAAGACAATTTCCCTTAAAAAATATTTTGAAGAAGATTTAAATGTAATATCAAGCGGATTTACGTTTTTGACGCAAGTCATTCTGACGTACGCAACACAGATTATACAATGTAAATGAATTTTGTATCAAATCGGGTAGCGCATTATATTACAACCATAATTAAATTATTTTTAAGTGTAATTTTAAAATATGTTATTGATGAATAGATATCTAAATATCTAAATAAACAGAAATGTAATTAAAGTACAATTAAATCAAATAGTAAATAAGTAACAAATGTCAACTTGACCTATTTTATAGCTTTATTATTTGGTATTACACATACTGTAGATAAATATGATAGCATATTCATCTTAAAGCGATAACAATTACCATCACTCGATTAAATTTGTGTACAAATGTAAGAAAATTCATGCGTAGTTGGTTTAAAGTTGTACACCTGACACCATGGAAAGTATTGCTATACAAAAATGACTAAGAAAGAAAATGATGTAGAGCACTGATAACGAATCGGGAGATTATTTTTAAAATGTAGAGAATTTAAATGAATGCATAGTTTGATGTTTACGATTGATTTTCTTTATAAGTGTTTTAATCCTTCTTAATCTAACTGCTCGAAACATCGGGAAGAGAGATTGTTGTTGTGTTTCGAGGGGTATTATCTAAAAAAAAAAAATAAAAAAAAAAAAAAAATAAATAAATAATAATAATAAAAAAAATAAAAATAAAAGGGACGACTTGTTGCCTTAAAATATCTCCCAATCTTTCATATTAACTAGGTATAGGCATATTGACCAAGCAATAAAATAGGATATTTTTTATAGCTTAAAAGAGGAGTATTACAAAATAGTAGAAAAAACATTAAATATATAATTAAAAAAAAAAAAATCGTTATTATAATTATAAACAACCTAACGTTATTATATTGAAGCAAAAATATGAAATGTATTAATTAGCATGTAAATATTTAGTTTTGTATAACTCAAGGATTGAAAATTATGTAAAGTACTTGAAACATTATTGAAAAGTAATTTAAAAAACAAACTTCTTAAAAATTATTATTAATAAAATTACAACAACAAGTGATTGAAAGAAATGGTACATAACAAATTATTACTAATTACTTTAAAAAAATGTAATTTTTTACATTCATTTTTCAATATGCCAATCCCTGCCAAACTGGGTATGATCGTAAATGCTTTCAGTTATATGTCACTGCTCTTCTCGTCTTGTAAACGTGGAATAACTGGATTCACTTTCAATTTGTAGATGATTATAAGTATCCTCATCTATTTTTTTTCTAGGAATTGCTTCTCTGAGAAGATTATATTGGATCTCTTCTTCACCAGTTAATACATCTTCTTCCTTTATTTTGCCATTATCAGCTAATTCATAAGTATATGCCCCAAAGGAGCTTCGAATGTTCTTTGTCACTGAATACCTTTTATTTGAAGTTCCCTCGTTTATGTTATCTCCTAGCGATGACATTGAGTCTATCACGGGTCTTGTTTTCTGAACTAAGCTTTTCTTTCTGCAGGAAATGAAATAATAAATAACATTTACATTCCCTAAAATAAGAATGCTAACATGAAATCTACTGATTCCATTGCACCTAAAAAATACCACAATTTGAATGACTCTAAACAAAGAAATAAGTATATTTTCAATTTGTTTACGTCTATCTCCAATAAACATATGTAATTTGTTTACTGTTGCATTTTTTTTTACTTTGCAGTTCTATAATTTTTTTTTATTCTCATGTTGGATACATGTATATGATACACTGTACCTGATGGATCTGATGACTACGCAGATAAGAAAAGCTGTAACTACTAGGCTAAATATAGGAACACCAATGAAAGTCAAGGCTGTGAACTCTTTATTATCAACTAACATGTAAATAAAAAATCAGTCATGAAATACGAATATTTTAATGATCAAATGTTGTGTCCTTAAATTTACCATTTTTTTTTCGTTTTATGGCAATTATATCAAGAAAGAAAACGTATACACAAGCATAGAACTTTAAAGTTATTACTCGTATTAAAGGAATATTACCCGAACCTCTGATAATTCCTGTAAGATTTCTATTACGACAAATGACTAATGAAAGTAGATTACATATTAGTATTTCTTTTATTATAAGTAAATGTTTTTGGTTTACAAGTTGGTTCACGAATCCTGTTATTTTTTCCTGTTTACTGTTTAAAGTACATAAAACATGAGGTGCTACTGTTGCTCAAAACATTAAACACCTCTTTTTTTGTTTGGTACATAAAATTCCCTCATAACAGCATTCCTTATCGGTATGTTTAATTTGAAAGGAAAAAAAGAGAAATCACAATTTCATATTTCTGACTGTGTATATCGTTCACCGACTCCATCCTTTCTCCAGCCATACCAATTCATCTCCTGACATTTCAGTTATTACGAAGTTTCGAAATAAAAGCTAAAACAATACATATTTTTTGTGTTTTCCTTGTATTATCAAGTGAGAGTGAACAAATTCTACTTGGGGCTAGTTGTTACTTGTAACATCAATGACATACAGTATTTCGCTCATTGTTTTTTTCCCAAATTAAGAAAACTAGATAAATTCAGGTCGGAAGTCTCTGCTGATAATTATTTATAAGTTCTACTGGTTAGAAAAACCATATATAAATAGTCTGAAAACTGTTCTTGTATTATTTCTATTTTTTAACTTAATTAAAATTTTTCTGAAGCGTAAATGCTGGACTCCCCTTTTTCCTTGATTCATACAGAAGAAAATTTTACATTTAGACTTACTTTAAATTATTCGGAAATACATTAAAGGAAGTGACTATAGTTCAATGATAGAAGCTGCAATGATAAGGCAAAAAATACACAGCATAATTACTTTTCGTCCGTCATTCAGTTTAAAGTTAAATAAACGTTCATTTGAATACATTTAAGATGTAGATGTACTTGAAAAAGACGTTAATAGTAATCTAACAACCAAGCTTTATGATAAACGTGATGACTTTAACTTTTCAATCGTCAACTTCCCTTACTTATGCAGCAATATACCTTCATCACCTGCATACGGGGTATATATCTCTCAGTTGATTCGATACGCAAGAGCATGCTTTACTTATGTACAATTTCTAAAACGAGGTAAATTATTGACAAATAAGTTGATGAAACAAGAATATCAGCTGTCTCGTTTAAAGTCATCATTTCGCAAGTTCTATGGTCGATACAATGACCTTGTCAGCAAATACAATTTATCATTGAGTCAAATGCTGACTGACGTTTTTCATACTAATTGTTAGGCCATTATTTTTTTTACACACTGAATTGACGACGGATTTTTCCGTTATTTCTCGACCATGACAAGGAGCACACGGCAGGGTATGCTCACTCCTCCATGGCACCTGATCCCACCTCTGATGTTTAGAGGTCCGTGTTTGCTCTGCTCCTATTTTGTATTGTTTAATGGACTTTTGAGCTTGGATGCTGTTAGTTATCTCCATATATTTCATGCATAACATGTATTTTGAAAGAATTTATCAAATAACTCCTTTTATAGGAATCGTGGTAAAATGTTAATCAGAACGAAACATTGGAGAATAAATGCACCTTACATGAAAATGAAATTCAAAATCTATGTAATGGATATCATTTTACATTTTTCCAGACAATATGCTGATAAATTCAATAAACATAGCAGGATAGTATTTTGAGAAGAATACATACGCTTATAAATTTCACAAGTGTTCATGACAAAACACAGAGAAATAGACATGGAAATTTATCACCTATTGTTTTTTGTTTATAAATTAGTAGGTCAAAATATTACATTGAAGTAACGTTTTACCTTCCATTATCTTCTATTTTAGACGAAGCGTAAGACAAAGCGTACATTGTCACATGTAATTGACTACTGAGAATATTACAAGAAATATGAGGTCTTGACGAGTTTGAAAACTATCAAGATTTGTGTTCATATATTCTTGGAATTTTAAGAGATAAATTAAGAATCAGGCTCTATCTTACCTCTCTTAGATGTAGAAGTCAGAGCTTTTAAAGTGCTTTTCATGTAAACTGTGTTTTGCTCTGTTGTTTTTTCATCGGCTATCATTGTTTGATGTTGACTGAACAAAGTTTTGGAAGTTCCAGATTTCTTCAGAGGTTGGGCAGTAAGTGTAGTCTAAAATGTAAGTAGGATTTAAAACATTATGTTATCTAGATTGCGTTAAAAGCAATCTAGAATAACCAGCAACATAATTATTTGTCAAGAAATATCTTCATTTTCCTCTAATGTATTTATTGACTGAAGTATGATTTTGAATGTAGCCGTTTAGCTTAGGAACATACAAAAAGCATTTTAAAAAAAATAATTCAAATAATAATAATAATAATAATAATAAAAAAAATAAATTAAATATTTAAAGAAAACAAGAAACTTAATATTATTAGCTTAACATATCACATCTAAAAAAAATTATAAAAGTTGTTGTTGCATATTCGACTTCATTTTTAAGTGCCTTTTAGGACGAAAATTTCAGTATTTTAATACAAATAAATTTATTCAATGTATCACGACCATTTTTTGTACCTAAT